TGGAGTTGCTTGCGTGAGAGTGGTGGTGTCAATGATCCGAGCGAAAGCTTCGCCAGTTCTTGCTGGCCGGCAGCGGCGGCATCTGTGGGCGTCGCTTTCTTCCTTGGAGGCGCCGTCAAGGTGATTTGGACTTCCTTCGCTCTCGGATCAAGATCTTCGGGCGAAAGTCATGATCCTGGTTGGATCAGGCGGCGTCGTCGTCTTCAACGCCGTATTCCCTCTTGGGGGCGCCGTCTTGAAGATCTTGGTCCCATTTGTGATTCCTGCAGGCTGGATGTGCACTACATTGCGGTCGGCAGGTGCTCGACCGGCGATGAGGTGGTGTGGCGTTGCGACGTGTCTGGCAACGACAATGGTGGCGAGGAGAGCCGGGTCACGACTTGTCCTTCTGATGCCGAAGGTCCGGTGCGCCAATTGGTGTGCCTATGTTGGCTTCTGGCTGTGACAGAGAAGTCAGATCTGCGGGCGGGGGGGCCACTGCGGCAATGATGACTCCATGAGGGCGGTTTTCAATGAGCGGTGCTCTTCGGGTGTTGCGCCGGACTAGGTCGGTGAGAGGCTTGTAACTTTCTCCTGTCATGCTCGTCGGAAAAATTGGAGCTGTCATGTCCTCGACGCTGCGGTCGACTATTTGGCGTTGCTTTGTTGTTCGGTGCTACCTCTCAACGGCTGTCGTTGGTTGTGTCGTGATATTGTTGGTGGCCAGGTCGTCCGTGTGTGCCCCTTGTGGGGTTTGTAATTTAGGTTTTTGTTCGGTTTTCCTCTAATTAACCGGACAACTCTCTTCTTCTTAATCAATGAAAATGGCAAATCTTTTGCCATGTTTCAAAAAAAATCACTTAACAAGGTGGCGACGCGCGTGCAGATTGGATCTGGCGCGCTCATGGTGCGTGGCGCGCGGCCGCGATGCAGTGGATGGTGGTGGTAGCCAGGTTGGTGTTGCAGCACTGACAGGGTGTGCGGGATTCGGTCCGACAGTTCTGCCTGGCGTGACAAGGCGTGGTGCAGCTCCTCCTCTCGTCTTGGTGCTGCGCATCCCGGCTCTGGCCGTGGGATTCGTCTCTGGCGGTCGTCCGGCTAGAGGTGCTGCGGTGGCGGCTGCCTGTTGGCCTCCAGATCTGGCTGGCGTGCTTGGTGAGGGGTGGTAGCCCTCCCATCCCTGCTCCTGTGGCCGCCCTGGTGCTACTGATCTGCTCGAGGGTTGGACTCCGAGGCGGCGGCCCCGGGACGGTGGTTGATGTGTCGGTGGCCGTGGAGTTCGCGCGGGCGACAAGGCAGCCACAGTGTGCTTGTTGGAGGGAGGCTCGTCTCTTTTGTCTCGTCAGCGAGGCGTGGTGGTGGTCCCTGCTTGGTGATGGCATGGTTGCTATGCAGGGATGGGCGGATCAGTTGAGTACTGGTTGGCTTCAGTCGACTACGTGAGAGTGGTGGTGCTACTGATCCATGCGAAAGCTTGGCCGATGCTTACCGACCGACGGCTGCGGCGCCTGTGGGCGTCGCTTTCTTCCTTGGAGGCGCCGTCGTGGTGATTTGTGCATCATCATCTCTTGGGTCAAGATCTCCGGGCGGAAGTCAAGATCCTGGTTGGATCAGGCGGCGACGACGTCTCCAACATCGTATTCCCTCTTTGGGGCGCCGTCTGGGAGATCTTGGTCCCATTTGTGCTTCCTGTAGGCTAGACGTGCATGGCATTGCTATCGGCAGGTGCCCGACCCGCGGTGAGGTTGGTGTGGTGTTGCGATGCATGTGGCAACGATGATGGTGGCGAGTAGAGCCGAGTCCGACTTGTCCTTCTGTTGTCGACAGTCTGGTGCGCTAATGGGTGTATGATACATCTCCGTCGTATCTACTTTTCCTAACGCTTTTGCTCTTGTTTTGGACTCTAATTTGCATGATTTGGATGAAACTAACCTAGACTGACGTTGTTTTCAGCAGAACTACCATGATGTTGTTTTTTATGCAGAAATAAAAGTTCTCGGAATGGAACGAAACTTTTTGGAGAATTTTTATACAATAAAAGAAAAATACTGGAGCCAAGAACCACCGGAGGAGGGCCCCTGGGTGAGCACAACCCACCAGGGCGCACCCCCTCCAGGCGCTCCTAGGTGGGTTGTGCCCACCTGGTGGCCCCGCAGACCCTGATTCCAACTCTAAAAAATCCTATTTTTTCAGAAAAAAATCAAGGAGAAAGAATTACCGCGTTTCACGAGACAGAGTCGCCGCCGCCTCCTGTTCTTCATCGGGAGGCTAGATCTGGAGTCTGTTTGGGGCTCCGGAGAGGGGGATCCCTGGATCTTCGTCATCACCAATCCTTCTCCATCGTCAATTCCATGATGCTCCCCACCGGGAGTGAGTAATTTTTTCATAGGCTCGCTGGTCGGTGAGGGAGTTGGATGAGATTCATCATGTAATCAAGTTAGTTTTGTTAGGGCTTGATCCCTAGAATCTATTATGTTATGAGATTGATGTTGCTATAACTTTGCCATGCTTAATGCTTATCACTTTGGGCCCGGGTACCATGATTTCAGACCTGAACCATTTATGTTCTTACCATTATATCTATGTTCTAGATCTGATCTTGCAAGTTACATGCACCTGCTATGTGTTATGATCCGTAAACCCCGGAGTGACAGTATTCGGGATAGTTTCTAGTGATGATTGTAGTTTGAGGAGTTCATGTATTCACTATGTGTTAATGCTTTGTTTCGGTTCTCTATTAAAAGGAGTCCTTAATATCCTTTAGTTTCCTTATGGATCCCACTGTCACAGGAGAGTAGGACGAAAGATGTCATGCAAGTTCTTTTCATAAACACGTATGACTATTTTCGGAATACATGCCTACATAATATTTATAAACTGGAGCTACTGTTATATGATGAATATCATCCAACAAATTCACCGATCCAATGCCTATAAGTTTTTCACATATTGCTCTTACTAAGTTACTATTGCTATTGCCACTGTTATACTTGCTACAAAATTATTGCTCTCACTGTTACCGTTAATGCTACTGTTACACTGCTATCAAAACTATCATATTAATGTGGTATTGATTACCTTGTTGCAGATAATTAATCTTCAGGTGTGGTTGAATTGACAACTCAGCTGCTAATACCTTCAAATATTCTTTGACTCTCCTTGTGTCAAATCTATAAATTTGGATTGAATACTCTATTCTCGAAAACTGTTGCGATCCCCTATACTTGTGGGTTATCAGTGTACCCAATGATTTCTGGCTGTGACAGAGAAGTCGGTGCTACGGGGGGCAGGGCCACTGCCGCAATGATGACTCCATGAGGGCGGTTTTTAGCTGATGGTGCTCTCCGTATGTTGCACTCGACTAGGTCGGTGCGAGGCTTGCAACTTTCTTCTGTGATGCTCGTCAGCAAAATCGGAGCTCCCGTGTCCTCGACGTTGCAGTCGACTGTTTGCCGTTGTTGTGGCCAGGTCATTCGCGTGTGCCCCGTGTGGGGTTTGTATCAAGGTTTTCACCTGGTTTTCCTCTAATTAACCGGGCAACCCTCTCCTTCTTAATCATTGAAAATGGCAAATCTTTTGCCTCGTTTCAAAAACAGAAACAAAAACAAACATACATACCATCTCACTACCCATGATACCTCATAAAGGCCCACCTCAACATGCATGGAAAAACCTTTTTCTTAACATAGTACATATGCAAGCGCTCATACATACGTGCATACACCCACCCTTATGAACGCACACATGCACACCCTACCCCTCTGAGCATCTTCGAGAGACTGAGCCGGCATATCATCTTGGGATTTACGAAGTCACCGTAGGCGCCTCGTCGTCGACGGGAACGTCGCCTCCCACTGAAAGCGCATCGCCGGAAATCCTGAAATAAATTCAGGAATAATGCGAGCACGAGGACTTGAACCCTAGTGGGCTGGGGATACCACTGTCCCTCTAACTATCCAACCACAGGCTGGTTCACAAAAACCTTTCTAGTATATGATGTCACTTACATCAAATACAATAATAATTCAGCTAAACTATAATCAAATACAATTAATAATGATAATATGTAGTCCTAGGTTTATTCTCATATTGTATTCAAACATTCAGGTTTTATACAATCAAATCCATTCAAATATATTGCAACTGATTTCCGCAACTACAGTGAGTATCATCTATTTGTAAAAGCACATATGTGATGGCACATACTCCCTCTGAATGGGAATATAATCCGGACACGGGAATTTAGGTCATTGATTTAACTATGAATATATGATTAGAAAGTTCATTCGACTATGAATCTATATGGCACACAACACATGTTTCGCCAGTCAAATCGAGGATCTAAAAACCCGTGGCCGACTTATATTCCAACTAGATGATACCTGATGTGGCACGTGTGATGAGGTGGATGCTCTGCGTGTTGAGATAAATCCTATAACGGGAATCAATCTCTTAGGTATAATAGATTTGGAGAGACTAGACAACATTGTTTCAAGAAAAGAGAGTACCATAGGCAAGTAGGTAGGCATGCACATTCATACTATTTGAAATTAAGTTAAGATGTTGTAGGTTGTTAGATGAAAAATCCCAAAAAAGGTAGTTATGCATATAATTTTTTTTCTGTAAAAGGCGTCCACGTATTGAAGAAAGTAAATTCAGATGCTAGGACGGCAGCGATCAAAATTTTAATCACTGGCCCTTTGCATCAGTGCACACTACTGTAGGCACACTTTCGCCACAGTATTCTCGCATTAACAGATTATTAGGAAGGCGTTTACATAATGTTGCTTTCGGTTTAAGAAAGCGTATCTAGTCCCAGCACAAAAAGCGTATCCAGATAGTACGCTTGCAAGTTGGAGAGGCGTATTCCCCGGGAGATAGGTCTCCCTCCGCTTTGTAGCCGCGGGGCCCGCGTGTCATCGTAATGACGGTCTCCAAGGCACTATCCGCAAAGTCCAAACCATTCGCCTCCGCCACCGCCGGCTGCACACTCGCCGAGCAGCCGCTCACCGATCGAGAGCATGCAGCCACCGTGCCTGGGCGCGTGCGGGGGCAGCCCCGCCGTCCTGGGCGCCAGTGCGCACTGCCACCGCCCCTCCACCTCCAGGGCTACCATCCGGTGCGCCGCCCGGGGCGGGAAGGCGTCGTCGAGGGGGAAGGAGAACGTCTGGAGCGTAGACAACGAACGCGCCGCCGAGCAGAAGGGTCGGTCCCAAAAGAACCACCGCGGGCGGAGGCGCCCGGGAGGGCGCAGCAGGGCGCCCCCGCCGCCGGGGAGTAGGAAGGAGAATGACGCGGGCTCGAGGGTTCTGGTCTCCGGAGCCATGCTGGTGGAGGTCGAGACCGTGCTCCAGACCCAGGTAACTGGACTGTTTTTGTGCCATGGGCACGCGTGTCTAGAACTTTGGCCAGCGAATCAATTTGCGATTTGATGAGGAGTATAAGTTCAGTTTATCCATTTAACCAACGACAAGTAGTCTGTAGTCCACTGCAGTGTGCACTTCGCAAAGCATTTCACTACTCACTTGCAATGGGCTAGCTTCAGAAGTTCAGATAGTGGGGAACTACGGACTGAACTGTAATGAAGCATACTTGCAATCAAACAGCAGTTACCAGGCCAGTAAATCCTATCCCGTTGATGTAATTTCTGGTATATTGAGTATTGTCTTCTTTTATCTTATTAGGAATCTGTATTAAGGCCTTCCTGGGATACATTTGCGAGTAGCTTAAGTGGCGTATGGAAGGGTGTCGGAGCTGTGTTCTCACCAATCACAGCAGAGATGGAACCTGTTGGACTAGGAAGCAAACAGGAGTATCTTTATGATTGCTACACTCTTTCTCGCATTGAGAAGTCGTATGATAGTGTTCATGGGACCGAGATCCAAAGGAAGACAAATTGGGTGCAGCTCAATCCTCATGGGGAAGCTGAGAAGCAGAGTGCCAGCGATGATGAATGGAGTCATGGTAGCTCCAGTGGGACTGTTGATTTACCTGCGCATGAATATTTTGATCTTAAAAAGAGCGATGTACTTGATGAAGATGTTATGATTGAAGAACCAGGGATTGTATTTTTTGAGGTGAGATTCTTTTCTCTTCACCCCTTTTTTCTGCCCTTTTCAAATACCTCCAATGCTTTTTAAAACATCTTTTCTCGTTCAGCTCTTCAAAGTTGCAATATGATGATTGACCTTACTTACACTGTATATTTTATTTAGCCATGACTAACTGAACCAAAAATATGATCGCATTCCTCTCTACTGTTGTAATTTAGAAGTTATAACTTGTAGCTACAGCCTATTTCCTGATGCTGAACATAGAACACTTAGATGGTGTTTTAGAACAGGCAGTTAGTTGTGATGTTAAACCTTGAACCTCTCAGCAGGTTTTCTTCAGTAGCAGCGCCTTATTAAGATGCTCATAGTGTCTGCTCACTTTTCAGACTCTGGGGAAATCATGAACCATGGGGATCTTTTTTAGATAGTTTGCATAGCTTAAGCTCTGTCCTTTTCTAAAGATGAGTTTAACTTGAACAGCTAGTTTGCATTCAAGCAAACTTTCTTAGCTCAAACGAGCCATGCAAGAAAAACTGAAATACATCCAAAGGAGCTTCCAGACAATCTGTAGAGTTATCTCCTTAGTCTTACCCTACAACTATAAGGCGGATAATCTAGCTCAGAAAATACGTTTCCCCTATGTCAAACTAGCCATGCAGCTCCTGACCTTCCGTTTCTCCACATGTAAGTTAAATATACTGTTGACATTAAGTATACCCATTACTGTTCAATCACACTTGTTCGCTGTGGGACTGGGCTATCATCCCCCCTAATTAAGTTCAGTAATGTTACACATTTCCTGTTTTGTGAATTTGAATTATCGACTTATTCCTTTGGCTACTGCATTTTTCGTTTTCAGGATGGATCATACTCTAGAGGTCCACTTGATATAGAAATCGGCGAATATGATGAATCTAAATACTTCCTCTCACCAACGTATCAGTTTGAGCAAGTATGTTTACTCTTCTGAACTTTACTCATCTGCCCCAAAAACTGAATTTCTGTTCAGTGCAATACTGCAATGTTGACTGAGAATAGTCTTTTGCCCGATGCTTTCCTTCGAGATCTGTTTTTGGCTTTTTACAAGAGGAACGAAACTAGACTTCTGTGATTCATATAGACATGTGAATTGCTCTTATGAATCATATAGACGCCTAAATAGCAAAATCAATAGTGATGCTGGTGTACATGCTTCTGATGATGTGCTAGGCACTTCTCCTCTTTCTTTATTTTGTAACAACAATCTGTGTGAGCTAGTATTATGGAATCATTTTGCAGAGATAGCTACTAATCAACTACTCCCTCTGTATCAAAATATAAGACGTTTTTTGACACTAATATGATTATTATGTTAGCCTTTTGCTGGAGAGGCTGCTCCGACTGTTATGGGAATGAATTATTGATGATCATGTGTATGTATAAATACTCCCTCTGTCCCAAAATAAGTGTCTCAAGCTTAGTATAACTTTGTACTAGAGCTAGTACAAAGTTGAGACAGTTATTTTGGGACGGAGGGAGTATAATACATTTCATGTTAGCCTTTTGCCTTTAACTTTCTCCTCTCGACACTTTGTGTTGTCTATGGGTTTGGATTTGCCAATCCATAACTGTCAATGGCATTGAGCTTTGTTTTAGAGTCTGGTCAAAGGATGCCACAAAAGACTGCGTATTGTGCATACCATTGAATTCAATGAAGGAGGAGCGAATATACAAACCGTAAGGGTTGCTGTGTATGAAGAAAAATGGGCTAGCCCAGCAAATATCCATGTTGAAGAGTATGATTCCTGTTATCCACTACTACAAGTTTATCTGCTTTTCTGCTTATGACATATATCTTTATTGCTATTCAGCAATCATGACTCAGGAGGAAACTGTTCAGATTGAACAATAATGAATTGATTTACTAAGTGTCAGACTGGTGCCACCAATCTAGAAAGGACACAGAAAAGCATAACACAGACTGTAGTTTGTTTGCAACGAATTAAAACGAGGCTAATTGAAAACTGGTTTACTTCTGCTTGATTTCATCCTTCAAAGATGTTTTCTACCTATACAGCATTGAAGACATTCTCATCTACAGCTTGTGCATGCTTGTTCCTCATGATCTGAATTGTCTTACATATCGGCCTCCTTATAGTTTGGCAACATGGCTTTCATGTCTCAGCAGCTATTCTTTCACGCACAAGAACCATCCGGCTTTTTGTAGATTGATGAACTAATTATGCTTGGTCTTCCTGAATAGCATTTTATTTTTGCAGTATTACCCCTGTTGACGTCAGACCTTTCTCTCAAAGAAAGCGGACGAAACCATCAGAATTGACAGGCCCCTGGAAAGTATATGAAGTCAGTGCAACACCAATTTTCAGTGAGAAAGTAAAAGAAATAGAGGGTGGAGCCGCCTTTGTATACTTGTGCATGGAGACCATGAAGAAGAGAACCTTGCCAGAGAGCTCTGTTTTCTTCGGGGAGGAGGAGATGCTCGATATGCAAGACGTGACTATACTTTGGTTGCCTGGAGGCGTCACCGCCTATGTTGACGTAGATAAAGATGGTATACTCTGCATCGGAGTTAGTTGGTACTCGGAGGAAGGGATTAATCTGGTGATGGAGAGGGACTATGGAACTGACGGGAAGCTCAGGGAAGTTCGGACGAAAACTGAAATCAAGCGCAGGTGGAATTAACCAGTCCCACCATAGTTCAAAGAAATCACTTCGCCACTTTAAGCTTTCTGTTTGTAGTAACATCTGTTTCTGGATATTAGTATAGGAGCAATAATGTCTATGGATGTGTGAGTTCCAATAAAATAGTGCTCCAGTTGATGTACTCCATCATAGATCAGTTGTAAAACCTTTTGCCTCTGTTGAATGCGCAGGCTTCGGTTTCATCAGCAAGAAAATGAGCTGAAAAAGAGCCCAGGAAGGAGACCTAGGCATTTGCTTGCCATGTGCACGGCCATATTTTATGCCATAGAATGGCTCATTTAGAATGGTTAATTTAGGCCACTTGCTCCACATTGTACCTTATCTAGATCTTGGCTTCTTGGGGGACAAGATTTATGACCATGGCCAGTGTCTGTGAGTATAAAATAGCCTGAACTACTGTGATTGACAGATAAAGGTATAACTGTATACAAAAATGTTAGCTATCAGGCTCTCCATCATGTGCAAGGTGCTCTGAAAGGTAACCCCTCTGATTACATCTGACTTCTTTTTTCTAATTTACTTCAGATTGCCGATATAATGTTTGCTTAGCTTGATCGTTGGAGAACATGGGTGGACCTGGACCATGGTCATGCCTCGTGGAGCAGATGCAGGAAGTCCAGCTTTGGAAGATGCAACCAAGGTACTTAAACCTTTTCCCGCAAAAAAAAAGGGTACTTAAACCTTGAGAAAGACGATGAAGAACATTTGCTACTTTCCGTGTAAAATTTGAAACCGTCAATCAATTTGATAAAGGAGAGATGCATATGGTTTTGGTGATTAAAGATTGATGCTAGAAAAGTGGACTATACCAAAGGAGTACCATTCGCATTGCTTTATTTAGCAGAATATCGTTAATGCGGAATCTAGTGCTTGCAGCAAAGAACACATGCTAAAAAGGAGCACGGCACGGTCGAAGTACTCCATGAACAGGCTGTTTGGCAGTACAAGCTAGATGTTCGAAGTTTACACAGTAGTAGGTGGGAATTATCGTGTTGATGTGCAATCACGCTTTATGTGCGCTCTACCCCATTCTAAACTGGCTATGCTCGCCGCCTAAAGCAAGCTTCAAGCGCAAGGTAAGCGTTCTCGACCACGGGATGATCGGTGGCCACCTTTTAATTTCTTGCCGTTACCTTTGCAAGTAGCTTAGCTTTTCCGCCGTTACTTTTGCTAACAAGCTTTTCGGTTTCCCTCTGAAGATATGGCGCCCCAGCTGTTTAACAGGCCAAGCTAATGTGATTTAATTTTCTCTTTAGTTTTTCTGCAAACATACGGCCAATGCACGCAGCGAAAATGTAGCAGAAATTGGGGGCGTTTTGTGATCTTAGCGCTCTGTTTTCTTCTTCCTGTGGTTATGTGGGTTGTTTGTAAAAAAACACAAGGAAATTAATTTTGGTAACGGGAATCATGGGCTAATTGCAGGGGGTTAACGGGTGGTCAGATCTGGCTAAAAAGGGAAAGCAACAGGACACGAGCGCAATTATCTACCCCCAGCGGACAAGGCGAGGCGAGGCCGCCACCCCCATCGGCATCCGCCAAGCCAGAAGCGCCAAAGCTGCCAACCCAAGCCAACGCCAACGCGACGGGAGATAATAAGAGAAGGAGAGAAGAGGCCGCCGCGGCGCCGAGCCCTCGTGTCGTCGTGCAGCCCCGCCCCCCACTTTCCCCCCGTGATCCGCCCGTGGGATCTCTCGCCCTCCCGCCCGCCCACCAGGATCAAGCCGCGGCCCGAGCCTGCCATGGGGATCCCTCGCTGATCGCGGCGCGTAGGCAGGCGGGCACCGTAGGAGGAGGAAGAGGGAGGAGGGAGGGCAGCGCCCGCGCGCCTCATGGAGCAGAATGGCGGTTCCTTCCTCGCCGTGCGCCGGCTCTCCGGCCACCACCACCCATCGCCGGGTACGTGGGTCACGTGGGTGCGTGCGTGCGTGAGTCCGCTCGCCTCGGATCCCCCCTTGCTTGTTCAGGAAAGAGGCTGACGAACGTCCATGGGCTTCTATTTTCCCCCCCTTTTCCAGCGGACGTCGTGTCGGGGTCGACGGCGTGGATCGGGAGGGGATTCTCCTGCGTCTGCGTGCAGAGGAGGGACAGCGACGCGCGCATTTCCTTCGATCTGACCCCCATTCAGGTGAACGGTGCTCGGTATTTGTTGATGTAGTAATCACGCGATTGCTTGTCAAACATGAATGCAATGGATAACTGGAATCACAGCGGGTGCAACTGTCGTGTTTCATTGTATTTGTGCTTAGATTGCGACAGGATATATACAATGGTCCAACAAATACTGCTCTCTTGAATTGGCATGTCATGTCGTAGTCTTTAGGACTTTGAACTTAGAAGCTACCATTGAAAAAAAAATACTTAGAAGCTTCCTATGACAATAATGGATTTTGTATTGCAGGAAGAGTGCCTACAAAGATTACAGAACCGGATTGAGGTGCCTTATGATAGTCAAAATAGAGAACATCAGGTATGACCCGTGGATGGTATCGCCACCAATGTGTTTGATTGTCGGTTGTAGTGTGCTATTTCTGTATTTCAGACACCCCATATTGCTCCACTGTAAGATGAACTCAGGATCTTCCTGTTAAAATCTCGTGGCGAGCTTTGTTCTCTAATTATAAGGCTGGCCAGTGTTGTCTGACATTGTATAGTGTGGTACCTAACAAAATGGCTGTGCTCTCATGTTTGCTTTAATAGAACAGAGTAATATGATGTTCCCAGGGTATCAGGATTTACTGGACGTGTGTAACTCAGTAAATCAGTTTAGTTAGACTACTGTGCCCGTAGATTGTTCAAAGTAGGGGAAGTGATTTCTGGCATGAGTAAATTGACCAAATGATCCTGCAGCTCACCAGCACAAATCCTTGCTTATAGTTTGTTCTCTGTTGCTATTAATAGTTCATATTGATCTAGCAAACCTGAACATACATTTCAAATGCTACATTTGATAACCCATTCATCACACCTTTTGTTCATTAGGAAGCACTCAAAGCCCTTTGGCATGCTTCTTTTCCTGGGACTGAACTTCTAGGACTAGTATCAGATCAATGGAAGGAGATGGGATGGCAAGGGAAAGATCCATCCACAGATTTCAGGTATTGTTCCATTCCTTCATTCCCGCACATGCCCTTTACGAAATAAATAATTTCTTAGTTAAATTTTGGATCTGGAATCATTTATTGTGCTGGAATTACAGGGGTGGTGGCTTTATCTCTTTGGAGAATTTACTTTACTTCGCTAAGAACTATCCAGTGAGTACAAATCCCTTTACTTAAATGCTGGTTCAGATTCATCGCTGTTTCTCGCCAATTGCTAGGTTTCAATGATCTTCTCTTAGCTAGAGCAGGGAAGAATCTAATGACTCATGCGATATACAGTTATACAAATCTATTCAGCTAGCAATGGAACCCTGTCTCCTTTGAAAATCGAACAGCTAATGATCCTTTGCTAATAACTGTAATGTATAATATTTATTATCGAACTATTAAGATAGGTAATGTTTATATTTTTATATGTTTGGCCTTTCATTCATCTCAATGAGGCACTTTCTGTGCAGAAATCCTTCGAGGAGCTCCTTTGTAAGCAAAATGGTGACAGAGCATTATGGGAATATCCATTTGCTGTAGCTGGAGTAAATATTACATTTATGCTCATTCAGATGCTTGATCTTCAAGCAGGTTTGTTCATTAAACTTTTCTGTGCTTCTTCATTAGTTGATGGATTTACTTCTATGTAACCTTCCCCTCGAGCAAATTTTCTAAACTGTGAAACTGGTTTTGCTTTTGCAATTATCAACAAATGGCACAGTGACTAATACTGATTTCTTCTGCAGCTAAGCCAAGGTCTTTGATTGGAGCAGTGTTCCTAAATCTACTTATAGGTACAGTCTACTGTAACATTTTTGCAAAATTGAAATCTTACATGGCTACTATATGGACCTCTTGTCCCAGAATAATTGTACAGTACAGTAGTTTTATGCGGTAATCTACATCAATTGTAGGTAATTAATGACTGATTAAAGGTTCAGTGCTTGTTAACAAGGCAATATCCTTACAGCTGATCTTGTGGGCTCAGTTGAATGGCCCAACTTTGACTGTTCTCCATGCTTCAACGCACAGCGATTATAAGGGCAGTTGAAGACTTGACCATAAATAAATTTAATTTAATTCCATAGCATGGAAATTAATATCCTTAATATTGGATGACATCATAGGTGTAATAAATAACGCCACCATCTTATTACGGGTGGCCTGCTCCTACTGTAACTGTAAGTGTACCCCTAGCTACTAACATCTAACCATTGTTATTTTCTGCAGAAAACGATCGAGCTTTTGATATTCTTTACTGCATAACCTTTAAGCTGATGGATCGGAAATGGCTTGAAATGCACGCCACATATATGGATTTTAATGTATGCCTTTCTTCAATGTGCATTCTCCTTGTCACATTGTTCGTACAGAGTCCCTTCTTTTCTGACCAAATTGGTGTACTCTCACTGCAGACTGTTATTAAATCCACACGGCGCCAGCTTGAGAGAGAGCTATTACTTGAAGATATTCAGCAAATTGAGGACATGCCGTCATACGGGTTTCTTGCCCGTTAGCAACTGAAGTCTTGCCTAACATCGCCACGTGTAGTAAAGTTCTTGACACATGCTTCTAAAGAGTGGAATGTAGGAATCAGGGACTCGTGCTTGTGTGGTTTTCGCTATCGTGCTTAGGTACTCTGATATCCTGAGCGCATGTTTGGGTCTTCTTGGATCTGACCTCTAGAGTAACTGGCTACCTGAACAGCAGTTGGGCCATGCTAGTGCCGGTAGGATGTACTTTCGGAAACAATTTGTCCTGGCGCGGAGTCTTCGTGCTAGGAATTACGTAGTAAGTTCTGAAACTCCTCAGTACTCAAGACAACTTTGTAGCCAAGTGCATAAATGATATTGGTGCACTCTTGTTTTGCACTAAACACACACGTTTTGTGTGATTTATCCATGGATTGTACTGACATTGTCGAGTTGGTTCAGCCAAATAAGAGAGGTCGGCTAGACCAAACTTCAAAAATAAGAGAGGTCGGGTAGACCAAACTTGACGTGTTTAGGAGGAATTATGGTAAGGTCTGTGTGCATCCACAAGGAAGATGAAGCAGTCATGATCCAGTAAAGGTAGCCGCTACTTTTTGAATGCAGGCTTTGCAGATAATTTTAAAATCCAGTGGAAGCGTGAAGCTTGTCATTCAATATTTCAGAGCCTCTTTTTTTTTTTTGGGAAAAGGATCCAGGTCTGTTCTAAAAGTTCTCCGGAAGTATAAAACACCTCAAGCAACAAACATAATAAAAATTATATTGAGGCACATAGATCACCGAACGACTACTGCTACTAGAATGAGCCGCTTGGAGCCGGCTTGATTTTATCGTTGACAGTCAACAAGCCTTCATGCACGTGTGACGTGCCCCTAAGGACTAACGCCCTGAAGCCGCATTCGTCCCTAAGGACTAGTGCCCTGAAGCCGCATTCATCATTGTTAAACCTTTAAATAGTTCTGAAGCATCAGACACCAAACTTTGCTAGACGACGAGTAATCCTAACCTCACTGGCCCAAGGAGCGCTCTGGAGCCGCATTCGTCACTGTTAAACCTTTAAATAGTTTTGAAGCATCAAGCACCAAATTTCGCTAGACGATGAGTAATCCTAACCTCACCGGCCCAAGGAGACGACACGAGTCTACCCCGAAGCTCCGTCTACTACGTCTAGATGGACAAACTCGAGGATGATTGGAGCCCCGAAGACAATCTCGAAGAAGAAGCGTCGACATTCACCCGAGCGCCACACCTATAGGACTGAAAAATCAGTAACCTAAACTACCAACCGTAGCGGAGGCACTAGGATTCCTCTCCCGTCATCGGTAGATGGAGTGGCAGGCAGAGGAGAGGCGAACCCAGGAAGGGAGAGTTTCAAAGCCTCTTTGATGCAATTGATTTTCCTAGGAATTTTGAATAATTGAATTGTATGGTTTTCTTTCCTATGTAACTTAGTTGACTTGTACGTAGGATTGATACGCAAACAATAACAACAATTATTTTAGTCCCAAACAAGTTGGAGTTGGCTAGAGTGATGTTGTAGAGTCTCAAATAAGTTGGGGTAGGCTAGAGTTGAAATGCATAAGATCTCTAAATCTATTCACACACCCATGTGGTTAGTTTTTTTTGCTGATATTCACGTCCTTTAGGTCTCTCCTTACAGACTCCTCTCATGTCAAGTTTGGTCTACTCGATCTCCGGCTAACATCGCCGAGTATAGCCTTGATGTCATAAAAGATGCTCGACCAGTGAAACAATCCCTTTGTCGATTTGCGCCCGAAAAACACAGAGCAGCCAGAGAAGAAATAGCCCGACTCCTAGCCGCTGGCTTCATCAAGTTGTTCTCTCACCCCTAATGGCTAGCGAACACATTTATAATCTAAAAGAAAGCCTAACTTGGCGTACGTGCATCGACTTCACCGACCTCAACAAGGCATTCCCGAAGATACGTTTCATTTCCCCCGCATCCCAAGTAATTGACTCCATGATAGGATGTGAGCGGCTATGTTTCCTGGATGCTTACTCTGATTATCACCATAACAGAATGAAAAAGTCCGATCAAGAGAATAGCTTCTTTATCACTCCCTTCGCCCCCTTCTACTACAACACCATGCCTTTTAGGCTTAAAATGCGCACGCAGCATACCAGTGCCTTGCATAAGTGCCTTCACAATCAGATCTCAACGTTGAGCTATGTTGATGATGTGGCTGTCAAGACACTTAACGTGGATAACCTCCTCACCGACCTCGCTCAAACGTTTGCCAACCTATGCTTGCTCTAGATGAAACTCAACCCAGACAAGTGTGCATTTGTTAGTACTTGAACATGGCATCAAATGACACATAATGCTATTACATAACACGGAGCTCAAATCATACAACATGGCATATTCATAGGAGCAACAGGTTCATGGCAATTATCAAAACAATATGCAACCATGAAATATGCCGATTACATACTTGGTGAAAATCAGGGAATGCAAACAGTAATATCATGATGCTGACTTCGGAGGCACATAACAGCAAGTATAACAATGTTAATATTTATGAAAATGGTATGAGCATACATTAGACATGACAATTTTCAAAATACTCCATTGGCACAAGTTCATAGGATGCATAGATTAATTACTATGATTTTGACGAAATGGAACTTGCTGTTAACAGGATGACCGTTTTACCATGATGGCATCTTGAGGGCAACAAAGATACATGCTACAACAAGTTTACATGGCATCCAAGGGCATGACATTGAATTACACATTATAGAGAACAAAACACATGAAGGAATCACATGCATATGAGCCCTAGTATAGTGGCAATCATCAAGCAAACTTTAAAAGTAATAACAATTTTCTGCAGTTAACATTGCGATGCACTTTTGCAACGAAGATTAGAGCATGTATACGAGTCCTATCATGCATGGAGAAGACACCATCATGTAGAGAACGAAGAGTAGATGAAAATCCAATATGGTGAAGACCTATCTTCATCGGACAAACATGCATAAAGTTACATGCATCAACAAAATGCAATATGGCGATGAAAATCCAAGGACTTGGTCGTTTATATACCCTGAGGGAACTGGGACAACGAGGAGCGCGACGAGCCGGTGCAGGGAGCTATTTGGTTCAGCGGACGACATCATACCGGGATGACGTCGTCCAGGGGGGTAGGCAATGGCAGTGGTGGTGCTCCAGCGAGCTCGAGGCAGGTGGCAACAGCGGCGGAGGCTGGAGACGCTT